GTTGTTATTACCACCACCACTACCACCATACATATTGGGTTCTCCTGACAGCCTGGCCCCAATACCTATATATGATTCCCCCTTTCTGTGATATTGGTGTTTGTGTAGCTCTTGATAATTTAGATTAAAATGAAACTGCTTTAAGAACTTGGATTCTCAAAATGAATACCGTATACATAAATTAGGTTTAGGTAGACGTATTCATGCATAGAATGTAAAGTTGCAAAGAGAGCTGCATTATCTCTGTCACACTAAGTGTATGCATGCTTTTGGGTTTGTATGTTTGTTTGAGTATTCCTATTTTTCTTATAGGCCGTAGGATTGCTAGCCTGATATTCTGGTCTCATGTTGTGTAATATAGCAGACTGGGCAGCTGTTGTTATATAATGGGAATAAAGAAATACCCAGTGTGCTATCTTTAGATAAAGATTCATGAATGTTCACATTTATTAGTTTTTATTAAATTAAATTAAATAAAGAACTATAACTTTACAAAAACAAGAGAAAACAGGTATATAAATTACATTATATATATAAAGAATACTATGGAGCCAGTTTCACAATATTAAACTTTGACCTTATGTAATAATGAGTTTTTCCATTACATTGGTAGAGATTGAGTTCATAAACATTAAGCGAATACATATAAATCCAAGATAGTAAATTTTAAACACGTTAGGAATATATATATACTCATCATATTCCATTTCAGTGTAAGTTGTGCATTTATGCAAATTTCACACAAAGAGTAAGAAGATGTGATAAAGAAATTAAAGGCAGGAAATAAGAAAAAAGAAAACAAGCTCTTAACAAAATATGTTTGTGCTAACACCATTCACTATCTCTTTATATTTTTTCTATTCTGGTAAATCATTCTTGCTTCAACATTATCCATATATGATGTATTGCCTTTCATTCTTTAAACACATAATAAAGTGAGCAAAAGCATACACTTATACACAACCATATTATATCTTTCAACAAACATTTCTTTCTTTCAACAGACTATATACTATTCACTACCTTTCTGCCAGCATTTTCATGTCTTAAAATTTCTCCACCCATTTCCCCATCTTTATTAAACATTTTATGTATCTACTTGCTCTAATTTATCATTTATGTATGTGATGCATTTCTGTATAAGTTCACTCACTTTTCCTTGTAAAATGCAACTGCCTTACTCTTTTGTCCGTGGATTTGTCCATATTCCTCATTGCATCATAAGGCTAACTGGCATTTGCTATAAATCATCTAGATAATCAACCAACAATAGAGCAATTTCTACATGCAAAATTACAGCACATTCACATTTCTTACCATCACATTTCTAATGACATCAGAATCATTTCTTATACATTTATCCGTACATGCGTTAAATAATCAAGGAGACATAATACATCATTAAATATTTAACCATTCCTTCATCATTCCATTTATTCTCCCACATACATGAATTTTACTGCATTCAGCAACCAAATTCAGCTCCATATTAGTGCAAAATGTACCATAATTCAAGCATATGTACTTAATCGTTGGCTTTTTCTAACAGTTTTATTCAAAAGAAAACCTGGCAAACTCCTTTAAAATGTTTCAGCTTATATGTCATTGCTATGCCTTCTGGATGTGTAGAGGTGTAAACATTCTGCAGAGAGAAAGTATAACTACTACTCTTCAGCTCATAAAACCTACTAAAGGATAGACATGTGTTGGGTTTCTAATTCATTCTCAACTAGCCTCATAGACATGGAGGTAGCAGCTCCTAATTACACAGTTCATATAAGACTAAATAGATGAACTTCCGGATCATAACAAACTATTACTGTTACAACAGAATATTAAAGAACATTACCAGAGATTCTTCCAAATCAGTATAACTCTGATGTTTCCTTATTTACAATATGAGATGCTAGTAAAGCTTTTATGAGAGTTTTGTTTATCTCTCTGGCATCCAATATAAAAAAAGCCATGCAAGGGTATATTTTATTTATATATTACTGAATGATTTGAAACAATTAGAATCAAGGTGTAAACATAATCCAATCTTTGATTTAGAATTAAAATAAAAGCAATATAGAATCAACTAGTTTTATTGGAAATAGACTTACAAGGAGACAAATTTTATCAAGCAGAAATATTTTGAAAAAGGCAGTAAGTGGAATAAATTGCAACCCTACCAATTGTATAAGAGACAGGCTAAAATAACTTATTTGGGATGGAATCAAACATGTTTTTATGAGGCATCCTGCAACCCAGGTGGGCCTGTAGAGATGACTACTGCCCCCAGTCAGGAAGCTGTTGGCTCCCCTGTATGCCTGATGTAGAAGGAGCTGGGTCACTTTCCCTGCCCCCTACTTGGTATCGTGTTATCCCTAAGGTGCCCTCCACCCTATAGAAGAACACTTCTCCATTTTGGACAGTACCAAACTCCTGCAAGGCCAGTAGTTGCTGAGGGTGGGGCTTGTTAGGGTATTGGTCATGAAAGTGGTGCCCCAATTGCAACACATCCACATCTGTTGCTGCCTTCCATGACTCTGGGTAGCCTTTCCTGTGGATCAGGTATTCAATCTGCATCCCTTTGCCTCTAGAGTCTAGCACTGCCTCCACTTCGTACTTGTCCTCCCTGTTTACCAGTATGAGAGGGGGGTGCTGCCTGTGAACACAGAGTGCAGTGGGTTGCCTCTTTCACTAGTAAGGCCGATGGAATACAGGGTGAACCTTCGTTGATGCTAGTAATTTCAACTGGAATACTATTGGGTTTATTTGTTTAATTACTGGGAAGGGGGCCAATAAATTTTGAGTCAAATTTCTTGGAAAGCCTCATGGAAATCAAAATTTTGTAGAAAGTCAAACCAAATCCTCTTCTGCAATTTTGGCTCCCTCTTTTCTGCGTATATCTGCTGCTTTTTTGTATGCGGCCTTTGGTAGTTCTAGCTGCTCCTTTAAGAGGCTTTGGGCCACTTGCCTCTCGTGCAGGAAATCTGTGGCATGAGGAATGGTGCTTTTTTGTCTGATTGTTGGCAAGACCCGTGGGTGGAATGATTAAGTTGCCTGGAATGTGAACATACGAATAGAGGAGTGTGCTGCATTGTTGTAAGCAAATTCAGCAAGAGATATGAGATCAGTCCAGTTGTCTTGCTGATATGAAATATAGCATCTTAAATATTGCTGCAACAGTTGATTAACCTTCTCAGATTCTCCGTTGGACTCCAGATGATGCGAGGAAGACAAATGAATTTTAATATTTAATAAGCGCAAGAGGGCCTTCCAAAATTTAGAAGTGAACTGATTTCCTTTGTCTGAAATCACATGACTGACCAATCCTCTATATCTAAAGATGCGGTCAAAAAATGCTGAGGTGTTTCCTGGATTGCTGGGAGGCCCTTGCAAAGAATAAAATGAGCCAATTTGGTACATAAATCCACTACTACCAGTATGGTTGTGTATCCCTGCACTGGGGGAAGATCAGTGATAAAATCTAGAGAAACAGTGTCTCAGGGCTATGACAGAGTCTCTAACAGCTGCAATAACCTGGCCGGCTTACCAGGAATTAGTTTTGTTCTATGACAGACATGAGAAGAGGAAACATAATCCCTAATGTTTGCGTGGATGTGTGGCCACCAAAACTCTCTGAGAACTCTATGTTGGGTTTTAAACACCCCTCCCCGGTGTCCTGCTGTTTTGTTGTGGCACAGCTGTAATACCTCTTCCCTTAGAGGAACATATAAACAGCCACTGTGCAACAGCTGCCCGCCTACCACTGTGAAAGGTGCAAAATTACCTTGTTGGGTTCCCTGGAGGTCATCCATCTGGGCCTTGGCATATGCATCCTGCTGTTGCTGTGCCCTAATCCAATCAAATAGATCAACGGTCTGTCTTCCCACTCTCAGGTTTTCAAGTTGGTCTGATTTACGGTATGATTCAGAGTTGCATGGCTGGAAGATCGTTGCAGGGGAAGGTGACTGAGGCACATGGTACTCTGGCTTACATGAGAGGGCATCTGGAAGTTCATTTTGGGAAATGTAAAAATCAAAGCGGGAGAAAAATTGTGTGTTCTGTATGGATTTGTACAAGGTAAGCTGCTCCTTCCAGCAGGTGTTTCCACTGCTGGAAGGCAGTTTTATCACCAGCAACTCCTTATTGAAAATATAGTTCCTTTCTACTGGGAGGAGCACTCTGGAGTAAAAGGCACATGGTAGTAGATCTGCACCCCCTGCCCCATTTCCCACTCTGCTTGGAGCAGGACTGTTCCTATCACCACATCTGAAGCATCTATCTGCACCACAAAGCGCCAGGAAGGGTCGGGGTGGCAGAGGAGGGGCTGAGAAGCAAAGAGTTCTTTTAACTCTTGAAATACCACTTGCTCTTGAGTTGACCAGAAGAATTGCTGACTCTTTCTTAGGAGCTGGGACAGTGGTTTTATACAGTCAGCAAAATTAGAGATGAATTTCCAGTAGAAGTTAGCAAAGCCCAGAAAATGTTGCATGTCTTTTACATAATAGGGGTGGGTGGGTTTGCCATCTTAGAATAGACTTACCTTTGCTGGATCCATCTGTATGTCTCTGTTGAGATTCTGTGGCCAAATAGTCTAATTGAGGCAGGTCAAATGCACATTTTTCTAGCTTGGCAAAGAGCTTGTTGTCCTGTAGGTTTTGCAATACATTTCTGACATGGGTGACATGCAAGGAGGGATCTTCAGAAGAAGCCAAGATGTCATCTAAGTATACCACCAGTTGTCTAAAATGTCTGAAAATATTTCGTTCATGAATCTAGAAAAAACAGCTCCCAGTTCACCAAGCTGAAAGGCATCACTGTGTATTCAAACTTGCTGTATCTTGTATCAAAGGCTGTCAAATATTTGTGTCCTTCTTTCATTCTGATTAAGTTGTAAGCACTAATCAAGTCTAGTTTTGTAAAGCTGCATGCCTTTTGTAGTTGGTCTAGTAGGTCTGAGATAAGTGGGAGTGGATAATGGTCTCTAATTGTCATTCTGTTCAGGTCTTTGTAGAATGGTATACATGGTGCTCCCTCCTTTTCCTTCATGGTGGCTGCTGCATCTCCTTGGTTTTTGGGCACAAAAACTGTTGGTGCTGATGCTGGTCAGTTGGAAGGGTAAATGAACCCTTTTTTGACGTTGACAACCAAATATTCCTTGAGAATGACTAACTTGCAAGTATATATGGGATGTTGTCTTTTTGCTGGGATGTGGACTCCTGGCTTCAAACTGGTGGTGCAATCATATGCTCAATGGGGGGGGGGGGGGGTGTACCATGGCTGCCTCTTCTTCCCCAAACACATCTGCAAACTCTGAATATTTTTCTGGTAGTGACAATCCACTCTTGTTTTGCATTGGAGTGCGGGGGGGGGGGGGGGGAAATTGCACCTCCTTGTTATGATTTTTGTGGCTTTTTGGGGGGGGGGGGGGTGTAACATGGCTGCCTCTTCTTCCCCAAACACATCTGCAAACTCTGAATATTTTTCTGGTAGTGACAATCCACTCTTGTTTTGCATTGGAGTGCGGGGGGGGGGGTAAACTTGCACTGCTTGTAAATGATCCTGCTGGCATTTAGGGGAGGGGAGAGTGTCCCTTGTGCCCAACGTACATCTGGATTGTGTAACTGAAGCTGCTCTGTTTCCAAGATGATGAGCACTTCCAAGGAAGCAGTCACATAGAGTATTATGAACTCTGTGTGATCTTTGATTGTTAACTGCAAAAGGGCCATGTGCTACAAAATCAGCCCTCCTCTTGGTGGCTGTCCATCAATCATCTCGACTATCACTGGGCTTTCTAGAGCTTGAGCAGGCAACTTTAGTTTCTGTACTGTATCTACATCTATGAAATTAGTGGTTGCCCCCAAGTCTACAAGAGCAGAGAGTTCCACATTCTGCCTGGAATAACAATAACAGGAGTAATTAGGTATGTTTGCCTTCTGTTGGCTGTCTGAGCTCTCCTTAAAGAGGGGAGGGGGCCCCTTCGGAGCTCCTGGGAGGGGGGCCGGCAAAATTTCCCTGGTGTGCTGCTTCGAAGCAAGCGGAGCACTTGCTGACTATGTGCTCCGTTGATTTACAAGTTCTGCATTTTGTTGCTGTGTCAGACACTTGAGCTTTTACCTGGCATGATCTGGCTATGTACCCGGGGACCCCGCAGTAAAAGCACAGTCCCTGATCCCTTCTTCTTTGCTTCTCTCCTGATAACAAAGATCTCTTGGTTGCTTCGATTTGCATGGGTTCTCCCGTATTCCAAGGGGGGTTATGGGGGAAGACGTGCTGTAGATTCTTTTCCCCTTACTGTTCCTTCCCTGCCTTAACTCCTCCAGCCAGGCATCTATTATTACCCAACTTTGATACAGCTCTTTTGGGGTATTTGGGGTGCTTTGCCTCACCAGCTCACCAGCTTAGAACTTCACCCAGCCCTTCTTTGAACTGGTCAGTCAGTGCTAAGTCATTGTACCCTACATCTCCAGCAAGTAACTTAAAGTCCACAATATATGATCTTACTCTCTTCTGTCCCTGCTTGAGCTTTCAGATCTCTTGACTAGCAGTGATGCATTGTATGGGATCCCCAAAGTGTCCTCTGAGTTTATGCATGAAGTCCTGATAGTTGTCCAGCACTGGATCATTCCCCTCAATGAACGGTACAGGTAGTCCTCGCTTAATGACCACAACTGGGACTGGAATTTAGATCACTAAGCGATGCAATCATTAAGCAAATCACGTGAACAGACCCAATTTTATGCCCTTTTTTGTGGTGGTCGTTAAATGAATCGTGTGGTTCCCCATTGATTTTGCTTGCTGGAAGCCAGCTGGGAAGGTAGCAAATGATGTGACCCTGGGACTCTGCAACCATCATAAGGGCAAGTTGGTTGCCAAGTACCCAGATCGTGATCATGTGACTGCAAGGTTGCCGTGACAGCCATAACTTCGGGCACCAGTTGTAAGTCACTTTTTTAGCGCCATTGTAACTTCAAACAGTTGCTAAATGAACAGTTGTTAAGTGAGAACTATCTGTATTGCCCCCTTGGCTGCTGCTTCCTTCAGCAAACCTAGTACAAAAGTCACTTCGACGCATTCAGTGGGAAACTCCACCAGCCTGCCTGCCTTAAACATTTCACGCTGAGTTGTGAATGCCCGGAATTGACCCGAGCCCCTCCGAACTTCTTCAGCAAGCTTCCATGGGAATGGAGGAGCTTTGGCTGAGCCGAAAGTAGTTGTGCTGCCACTGGTTGAGACAAATTCTGCCCCAGCTGTTGCGGTAGTTGTATTGTGGCATTCTGCAAGTTGGTCATCTGTGCATCTACCTGCTGCTGGTGTTGCAACAATGCTGCTGCTAGATCCCTGGTGGATATCGGAGTCCTCCTGGGGATTGGAGGCCATTCCTTAAAATTCTTCTCTTTGGAAGAGAGTATGAGACTTGCAAGATTGATGTTAGCCTTACTATGTAGACCAGATAGGAAACACGGCTAGATGAGCTAATTCTACTTTATTGTAAAGTAACATTAATAGAATCTTGCAAGTCTGAAAGTAATTCTCTCCTCCCATCCTCTTTACAGCCCAAAAACTAGGGAGGGTCTCTTCTGAGCTTCTTGTCCTGTCCACATTCCTGCTGCGGGCTCAGCTGCTTTTTATCTGACTGTTCCCTTGGCTGCGTCTCTTTGCCCTGTCTCCCAAGGTCATTCCCACATACCACTACAATATTATATGCTGTATGCTCTTCATTTGTTTGATTTATCTTTCAAGGTTTAAACATTTTGTAAAGTTGTTATACCTGCTTAATAACCAAAAGTCAACAATGTCATGCTATTTTAATTCAGAAAGGTATCTGAAAGTAGTGCCCCTACTGATAAGTCTTCAAGTGCTAGCTTCTCTATTCCTAAAATAAAGTGCTCCTATATAAATTGATGGAGAAATTTGTTCTACTTTTGCTGGATGCATCAGTATCAAATTCTTATATTATCTGGAATTTATCGAGTTCTTCATGCTGAGTCAAACCAAAGTTCCATATAGCTCAACATTTTGTTCTTATTATACTAATCAGACACATGTGGGAAGTCTACAAGAAGGAAATGATAAAAATAGCGTCTTTTAAAATTTAACTGAAATTTAAGTACTATTTGATTTGACTTATAAATTTATTGGTTTTCTCTGGGCAACATTATGTTATTTGTGTTAAATACTGCTGGAATAAAATTATTGAATTTCTAACAAATCCTCCAGCAATAATTAAATTGCTTAGTAAGCTTTATCTGACAATTGCTGTTTCCAAAGTCAATTATTTGGAGATAGAAAACATAGCAGGCTTTAAGGTACATTTTATTTAATCAGAGCTAGGAACAAACCTATAGAAATGAACCAATGAATAAGCTCTTCCTTTTACTAAGAATTATGAACATATAACATCTTTCTTACTCAATTTCAATTATATATCCATTTATGTAAATGAATTCTGTAAAAGAATTTAGATTTTATGCAAGGCCACTTCTAATTTGGCATCCTTCTTCACATTTTATGTAGGGAAAAATACATATATTATCAAATGTCTTGAACCCAAATATCTGCTTTCTGGGAGTACAGATAATCTCTTAACATGAAATATGAATAAGAATTTAAGAATAACTTTACTAAATTGGAAAAACCACGTGGTTTTGATAAAATATTTACATCAATCGCCTTAAGTTGTTGACAGTTTAACTGCATTTCAGCAGTTCAACTGTATTCCCCAGTTAGAACAAAATTCTTCAAGAGAAGAATTATTAGTGACAAGAACTCAATATGACTGTCATACAAGATGCATATAGCTATTTAAACCTCTGAGGGGGTGGCCAGATAGCATTGGGGGAAAATCATAACACTTATATCAGTCTTTCACAATTCCATGTTCTATGTAGTCTTCATCCATGAGGTTTATGAACTGCTAAGAGTTTTTTAGATCTTCCTCTTTAATTTTTAATGAAAATTAATTTAAAAGAGAAAAATAACTGGACCAAAATATTGAAAAATGTCCACATTAACTTCTGAATAGCAATATTGCTTGGAGGCTGTCACATTTCTGAAAACCTGAAAGGGCATCTAATAAAGAAGTTGTTTTATAATTACCTTTAGAATGTATACATATCTTTTTCAATCTCAATAACTTGATGTAATATTGATATAAAATCATATTTTGATTGTTACAAGTTTCAGGGTCAGTTCTACACACTTTGGAATGACTGGTATACAGTAACTGAAAAAAGTGCATATTAATGTATTAGGAGTAAGAGTGAATCCCTGCTTGTGACATTGGACAAAGGGACAGTCGAAGGATCCATTTTGTGTATTGCCCACACTGCATGGCAGGGTCGCTACCTGGCCTTTGAAGCTTATCTTGCAGGTGATTGTGGAGTATTCTTCACTTTTGGTCCTAACAGATTTTAATCTCAACGCTCTGGGAAACTTCAGGAGTTCATGTCTATCATGGTAACAATGGGCTTGACCTAGATAATCTCAGCCTAATGTACACAGGTCTTTAGATCTAGTCTTCATCTCTGAGCAGTTTATTAGCACCCTGAAATTGGAAGATACGAGAATCAGATTTTTGCCATCATCACATCACTCCTATATGACTCCTCATTGCTCAATCAGTTAGCATAGTCCATTCCAGGAGTCTGCTGGATCCATATGGATTCCAAGGACCCTTGGGGAATTTCCTAACAATCTGGTGAATAGTCTAGTCAAGCACCTGCTTGATCTGATTCTGGAATATGTAGGAAACCAGAGTGACCTTAGCAGCTCCTCCCTGGGCAGTGATCCCGGGGAGCCCTTTGATTAACTGAAGAGCTCCAGGAGATGAAATGGTAGAAGGGACACTTGATATGTTGATGGGAATGCTGGTGCCACCCCTCTCAAAAGGGCCCTCCCTGAATCCAGCAGATCTTGACAACAATTGCCCGGTCGTCTTTTTAGGGAAGGTTCTTGAGAGAAAGGTGGAGTGCCAAATGCAGTTCACATTAGAGGAAGATTATCTAGACCCATTTCAATCATGGCCCAGATGGAAACCATCTTGGTCATCCTAATGGATTACCTGCATTAGGACACAGATGGGGAGTGTGCCTACTGGCTACCC